TCCTGGCCCAATCAGAACCCAGCACCTTCCATTATAAGGGTATAGAAACAGTGCTTATTTTCTTAGCTCCAGAAAACAGCCCTGTAGGGCTGTTGACATATCTGCTCACTCTCACTAAGTTAGCTGTCCAGATACCCTGCCCGTTTTGGTGACTCTGTAGTAGGCAACGTGAATTTTTTTGTCTTCCAGGTCAATATCCAACGCAGCCAACCTACCCTGTGCAGCCTCCTGGGAATCCTGTCTACCCTCAGACCTTGCATCTTCCTCAGGCTCCACCCTATACTGATGCTCCACCTGCCTACTCAGAGGTGCTACCAGTGTGCCAAACTTGCTAGTTTTAATACCCTTTTAGCTAACTCTGACTTCACAAACAGAAAAGTGATCAGAGGAATAATCTAACCCATTATGTAATGCAGCAATTTATCAGACTCAAAAATGCATTCTGTGATTCTGTTTTTTGGCACAGGCCGAGGTTAATGAGTTTGTGTGCCTTGAACCTGACATTAGCTCTAGCAGGAAATGATCTAAGACAACACTGAATGCGAGGAAAGAGACTTGTATAGCTCATCAAAAGTATAATCTGCACTAGGAGAATTAAGAATCTACTCAGCCTGCATATGGTGGTACACACCTGTAATCCCAGCTACTCGGGCTAAGGCAGAAGGTCAAGTTTGAGATTGGCCTGGGAAACTTATTGAGACTTACCTGAAAATAATGTGGAAAAAAATTAAAGGATGTAGTTCAGTAGTTGAGTGCACACATAGCATATGTGAAGTCCTAGTTTCAATCCCCAGCAGCACAAAGAAAAAGATTGACTTATTAAAGAGATTTCAAGTAGGATTAAAGTAACATTTTTGCCTTCTGTTCTGCCTTTTTAGCTCTATCGTCCGAGCTTTGTGCACCCAGGGGCTGCCACAGTTCCTACCATGTCAGCTGCATTTCCTGGCGCCTCTCTCTATCTTCCCATGGCCCAGTCTGTGGCTGTTGGGCCTTTAGGTTCCACAATTCCCATGGCTTATTATCCAGTCGGTCCCATCTATCCTCCTGGTTCAACAGTGCTGGTGGAAGGAGGGTATGATGCAGGTGCCAGATTTGGAGCTGGGGCTACTGCTGGCAACATTCCTGTGAGTATGCCCTCAGAAGAAGCTCAGCCCTGGTGTGTCTTAACTTTCTGAAATGACTTTATATTCATTCTCCCACCATTCCTGGAAGACAGCTATCCATTTTGGTACAATAACTTCCATTTAATAAGCAAAAAGTGGCCGAGGGAACAGGAGAACTATGGCACGGGTATAGCACTAGGACTTTCTGCTGGGGTCCAAGTTAGCTAGATTGTTTTTTTTGTTGTTGTTGTTGCTTTTCCATTTCATTTTGATACAGTGAACTGGTCCAGTTAATGTTCTTTATTCTTTCTGTAAACATTTACTTAATATTTCATGAGCATGATATTGTATTAGGATCCCAGATGATTAAGAACACAGACCCATAATCCCTAGTATTTAGCTTTTTGGTTATTGTTTTCCACTAGTGCATGGGACTTAAGACTTCACACAGGTTTTGCACAGGACATCTACTCAGGAGCCACACACTAGAGATGGAATTAGTGAGCTTTAGGTAACCCAGTGGTCTACATACAGTATCCAGAGGGCTGGGGATACAGCTTAGTGGCAGTGTGTGTTGAACATGTGCTGAGTTTCTCTCCCAAAATAAAACACCAGATTACCTAAGGGGGGATTTTTTTTTTTTTTTTGGTTGGCTCAGCCTGCCTTAAGGGCAGGTCTGGCAAGGCAGGTGGAGGTAGGGTTCGAAACGTGGTATGCTGCGCCTGACTGCATTTGCATGAGCAGGCACTTAAACAACTGAGCTTGCCGGGGAGATGGCTCAGTGGAATAAGCGCTTCCTTGGAAAGCGCAAGGGCCTGAGTTCAAGCCCCAGTTCTGCCAAAAAAAAAGAAAGAAAGAAAGTGCTGTACTCACTAGTTTGGGGCCAGGGAGACGGCTCAGTGGAATAAGCGCTTCCTTGGCAAGTGCAAGGGCCTGAGTTCAATCCCCAGTTCAACCAAAAAAAAAAAAAAAAAAAAAGAAAATGTGTCTGAGCTAACAGGCAGGCCCCACATTACCGAGAGATCCTGTGGGATTTGGCCATGGACCTGGCACCTCGTCCCTGTTTGGGGAGTGCAAATGGAAATTATTTTCCGTTCGGAAAATGGGTTTTGTGTCTATGTGTAGGCTTTTATCTTGGAGCTAGAACCTTCTGAATGAGTGGTAGGCTACCTTTCTTGTTTGTGTCTTGGGTTCACAGAGAAAATATACTTGCTTTAGAACTCTCATTGGTGGCAGAAGCAGCTCCTTCATGCTGTTGACTACACACTGCCATCTCCCTAACAGCATCTGCCTCACTTGTTCTCCTCCCTTGATCAGCTGCCCTGTGCCCATTCTACCTTGTCCTTTCCTTCCAGCCTCCGCCTCCTGGATGCCCTCCCAATGCTGCCCAGCTTGCAGTCATGCAGGGAGCCAATGTCCTCGTAACTCAGCGGAAGGGAAACTTCTTCATGGGTGGCTCAGATGGTGGCTACACCATCTGGTGAGGAACCAGCGTCGCCTCTGTGCCAGGAAAGACATCACATACCTTCAGCACTTCTCACAATGTAACTGCTTTAGTCATATTAACCTGAAATTGCAGTTTAGACACATGTTGTTGGGGTGTCTTTCTGGTGCCCAAACTTCAGGCACTTTTCAAATTTAATAAGGAACCATGTAATGGTAGCAGTACCTCCCTAAAGCATTTTGAGGTAGGGGAGGGTATGCATTCATAAAATGAATGTGGGTGAAGCAGCCCTAAGGATCTTCCTTTAATTCCTCTGGAGTAATACTGTACCATACTGGTCTTTGCTTTTAGTAATAAAACATCAAATTAGGTTTGGAGGGAACTTTGATCTTCCTAAGAATTAAAGTTGCCAAATTATTCTGATTGGTCTTTAATCTTCTTTAAATCTTTGATTTATATTACCTGTTAAATGCATTAGCTGTCTGCCTTTTCCTTCCCATCCTCTGCCCCATGTGCTGTCTTGAGCCCTAGTCTTCCATTCCCTCCTGCCAGTCTCCATTGAATCAGTGGTGCAGGACAGAAAGCCAGTCAGTCGTTTCCTTCTCTCCTTGCACTTCTCCCCACTTGCCATCTTTTAACTTGTCTTTTATAAGGATCCTCTGAAATCCCCATGTGTCCCAACCATAGGCCCCATTATGCCTGCTTTTATATCTCAGGCAAAAGTGGAAGGTGCCTTTTGGACCCTCCTCACAGGTTGTTTCTGCATAGATAAACCTAACCTAAATTTGCTTTGGTGCCAGAAAGACTGAGCTTTGTTTTAACAAAAAAGGGTATCAGTGCGAAATGTCCCATAAAAGAGTTTAAAATATGAGGAGCGAGGAGGAGGATGCATTTCAAAAGCTTGACTTCACAGCCAAATTAAGGGGAGTTTTGAGATCAAAAACTGGTACCATTTTTTTTGACAGTGGCTCTGATGTAGCCCCTTATGGCTCCCAAGAATTCCTAAACTGGGTGAATAGAGTCATATGGTGAATGCTTCACTATACAATGACTTGAGTCCAGTGGAATTTCATTAGGGTTAAGAATATTTCAGGGATCCTTAATATTTTGATTTGTGTTTTCTGAAATTGGATTTTATTTTATCTTATAATTTTAGTTCATCTAAATTTTGTGTTCTGTACATGTGATGTTTGACTGTACCATTGACTGTTATGGAAGTTCAGCGTTGTATGTCTCTCTCTACACTGTGGTGCACTTAACTTGTGGATTTTTTATACTAAAAATGTAGAATAAAGACTATTTTGAAGATTTGAATAAAGTGATGAAGTTGCATTACACCTCACTCCAAGGATTCTTTACTTAGCTTGTTTTTAGATTTGTTTTGCTTCTTTGTATATTTCCCACCTAGAACTGCTAGGTGTTATTGCTCTTCTGTTTTCTTTAATGAAGGCTTTGAAATAAATGCAGGAGTACAAGGCCAAGATTTGACTATTTTCGTGAGTTCCACTTTAGATGTAACTCTCCTCTCCACTTGACTACTTAAACTCAGATTCTGGAATTCAAATTTAAACTTAGAAATAAGGGAACAATCTGTTCCTTTCACTTGCTCTAAAGTTTGGACTGAGAAAACAGTATAGCAGCCTGTATGCATCTGGGGAGGCTTTCGGTTTCTCCAAAGTTCTGAAATCTCGTAAAATTCCCCAGCTCCTGGGTTGTACCTTTACTAGGCTTAAGCTGGGATAATAAAGGCAATACACTAAGAACTCAAAGGAAAACTAGCTTAATTCCAAAGTAAACAATGTCTGAAGAGCAAACAGTTTATACTGAAGCATTGGGCCTTTTAAACATAACCTCTCTTTAGACTCAAATCCTAGGCACTTCTTGGACCAATTCCAAGGATACTGCTGGTGGGGAAGGCAGATCTTTCCTTGGTGTTCTCTCTCTCTCTCTCTCTCTCTCTCTCTCTCTCTCTCTCTCTCTCTCTCTCTCTCTCTCTCTCTCTCTCTATCTGTGTGTGTGTGTGTATGGGGTTTGGGAAATCTGTGTGTGTATGGGGTGTGTGTATGGGGTCTAGGAAATCCTGTGTGTGTGTGTGTGTGTGTGTGTGGTGTATGTGTAGTGTGTGTGTATGGGGTCTGGGAAATCCTGTGTGTGTGTGTGTATGTGTAGTGTGTGTGTGTATGGGGTCTGGGAAATTTTGGCCCCTGGTAGGATGGAAGCTAAACCAACTCATTTCCCAGGATATCTGTAATGCAGCTGTCCTGGGGCCAGCTTCTTGACTCATCTTTGTCTCAAACTGCTGATACAGTTCTGGGAAGTCATGGAGCTTCCCCAGGGCTCTTACAGCTTGGGAGAGAACAGGCACAAAGGAGTTAAATTAACCAAAGAAAATGTTGAAGTTTAAGCAAGACAAGTCAAAGTAGGGCAGCTGCTGTTGCACACGAAACTCTGACTTCTGTATCAATGAAAAAGTTTAATTTGTGTTAATAGCTCAAGTATAAGGTTGTTGGGGAATATAGGAAGGGCTCAGATTAAGGGATAGAACACATTTATCAGGATGTGAAACCCCAGCGTTTCCTATCCCTGCGGGCCTGGCCTTTTAGTGTGGCATCTACTCCTGGGAAGAACTGGATATTTCCTTCTGGGCTATAACTAGGTGGCCACAAAGAGGACAGAGGGAAGCATTAGCCAGTGACCCTCATTCCTTCTCCCCACATGAAGGCACGTACTCAAATGTTCCCTGGTATAGCCCCACTTGGCTAGTCAGACACCAGTTCTATTCTAAAGGCCTACTGACACTGTAAGCAGCTTCTGGTCCCTGGAGTCAGTGATGTTGGCATTTGGGTCTGTGTCCTGCAAGGAGCTTGGATTTTCCCATTATAATCAGTGTCACTGGCTTTAGATAAAACTTCGAGCTAATAAATTAAGCAGTCACTGCATTAGCACTGGAGTCAGGACTTCGCTCCATCGGGCCTGGTGGTCATTAGATGAAATACTCCTCCTTCTCTCTGCCCTTGGCTGAGTCACTCTCCATCTGGAGGATGGCGCTGGGCTCGCCTTCTGTAGGTTCATAGGTGACGTAGCTGCCTTTGTTCTTGTACAGGTAAAAGAAGATCAAGATCACAACCGAGAGCAGGGTGAGGAAGACCACGGTGATAACAACTTGGAAAGGAGAGGGAAAATAGAGATGTGTTTCAGGATTGAGAATCTCAGAATTTTTTGGGCCAGCTGAATTATACAAATTCCTTACTCTTCAAAAGGATCCTCTCGTTTATGGTTAATAATTAGCATCCACTTTCAAATCCCTGTTCTTCCACCAAACCTAGCTTCCATGGTATCTGGAGTCTCCTGGTACTTAGGCTGAGGACATAATGCTTTTGATTTCTGACAAAACAACTCCCACCCAAATGATTTCCTGACAATTATGACAGAATGGGAAATAAGCAGTGGCTTCTCCCAATAGGAAAGGGTGTTTTTAAGTCCATAGCTTCCTGTAGCAGTTTCTCTCATCCTCCCACTCTTCTTCACCACTCAACAAACCACATATATCCTCATCCCTACCCACACTTGAGTGTCCATATGCACCCAAACCTATTTTTGGTAGCCTCTCAACCTATCATTTACTGGGAGTGCAGAAGCTGAATCTTTTAGAGCACTGTGTATGTGTAGAACACTTGTCCCCGAGTGAGCCCATGAATGGATTGAGTTTCTTACATTGTAGTGATTTTCTTTTGGGGAAAAATCTTATATTATCACAAAGGGATTCCGCTGTCTCGTCTAGAGCAAGAGAACCCCTAATACCAGGGGCCCTCTGACATTTGGCTCAGTCTGTATTACCTGCAATGAGTGCTGTGCTGGCTTCTTCAGCTTCTGGAGACAGGGCCTCAGTGGCCTGCAGAAGTGGGGTAGTCATCAGCTCTTCTGGAAAGTTTAGAAAAGTGGCAAAGGAAATGGGGATGAATTCTTTTCTCCTAAAGCACAGTTTTATCCTTCAAATTTCATTACCACACCATCCCTATTCTAAAGTTTAATATTTAATTTCTATAGTAAATTCAAGAAAAATCTGGAGAATAGAGGAGAAAAACTACTTCCCAGAGTTGCCTTGTTTGTTTTTGCTCTTTTTCAATTTTACTGTATTTTTTTTTTTCATAACCAGTGATTGAACCCAGGCCCTTGAGCTTGCCAGGCAAGCGCTTATTCTACTGAGCCATCTCCCTGGCCCCTGAATTGTTTCTAAGAGTTGATTTATTTTTTGTTTTTGGTGCTGAGGACAGAACCTGGGGCTTCCAGCTTGCTAGGCAAACGTTCTACTACTGAGCCAAATCTCCAGCCCCACTACTTCCCAAAGACAATGAATACTGTGAGAGATTTTTCTCTTCCTAACACAATGGTTAAGAATAGGAGAGCTTTTATGGGCTGGGGAGATAGCCTGGCATATAAGTATCTGCCTGGCAAGCGCAAGTTTGAGTTTGATTCCTGGTACTACATGCTGTGCAGGCCCTGGAACCAGAGATAGTGGTGCATGCCTGTAATCTAGCATTGGAAGGCTGAGACAGGAGAATCACTACAAGTCCAAACTGTAGTGAGACCCTGTATGGGGTGTGGGGGGGGAAGAGTATGAGAGCTTTTAAGAGCCGCTTGCATAGCCCACTGTCTGTAATCCCAGATACTTGGGAGATACTCAGCCTTGGGAGGCTGAGTTAGGGATCTCAAGTTTAAGACCAGTGTTGGCAACTTAGACACACTGTCTCAAAGAATAGAAAAGGGATAGGGCTGGGTAGTGTGTCCGCCACTCCAACCCCTTAAAAAAAAAGTAAGCACAGGCTTTTGAGCCTGACAGGGTTTCAGATGTGAGCTCTGTCTCTAACTATGAAATTGGGAAATTACCTGACTCCTCTAAATATCAGTTATCTGCAAAAGAGGATAATAGTACGTACTTGATAAGGGCTGTTGCTACATAGTAACAGTAAAAGTCATTAGGAATGCATAATTTTACATATATGAGATCAAATGTTGAGTGTATCTAGTTACATGATGTTTATATCACCTAGCATGTGCATTTTCTTCAGTGTCCTTACTCTTTATAAACATTATTTTAAAATAATAAAATAATGTTCCTTCCCTATCAAAAGACCTTTTCTAGACTTCCAAGATAGACACTACACTTTGGTTTTTTTTTTTTTTTTTTTTTTGCGGAACCGGGGATTGAAGTCAGACCCTTGCGCTTGCCAGGGAAGCACTTATTCCACTGAGTCATCTCCCCAGCCCCAAGACTCTACACTTTTTGGTGGAACCGGGGATTGAACTCGGGCCCTTTGGCTTGCTAGGGAAGAGCTTATTCTACTGAGCCATCTCCCCAACCCCTCTGCACTTTGAAAGACTCACAAATGAGGCCCCCTCTGCACCCCTTCCTGTATGTATCTGTCTATCCTTAAGAATTAAATAATTCCACAGGAAGTCAGGACACCTATTCTATTCTATTCTTTTTTTTTTTTTTTTGAGACAGGGTCTCATTATGCAGGTCAGGCTGGCCTTAAGCTCACTTTGTAGCCCAGGCTGGTCTCAAACCTACAATAATCCTCCTGCCTCAGCCTCCCATGGGCTGGGATTACTGGTATGTACCAGAACTCCTTAGCTGACCCCGTTTTATGCAGGTATTCCTAGTTTTGCCCTCCTTAAATATTTAAGAATTTGAGCTATTCAAAGCACTGAAAAAATGCATGCCATAAACTTTAATATAAAGATGAATAATTTCAGTTCAGTTAATCAACAATATACTTGCAACCATCATGTGCTAGGTGTACTGACTTCTTAGATGGGAGGGGTGCGTGTGATGAAGTAAACCAGCAATTTGACTATGGAACCAAGTTTTAGTGTGTGTCAGAGCACAGATACACAGAAAGAGAATCTGAGAGGGAAAAGGATTTCTAGCTGGGAAATTCTGCAAATGATCCCAATTATAATAGCTGTCTTAGCTGGGCAGGGTGGCACATGCCTATAATCTCAGCACTCAGAAGGCTCAGGGTGAGGTAGGAGGATCATTGCAAGTACAAGACCAGCCTGAGCTACAAAGTGAGCTCAAATCCAGCCTGAGTTGCATGGCTACACCTGTCTCAAAAGGACAAAAAAGGGGTGCCTGCCCATTAGCTCAGTTGTTTAAGTGACTGCTTAAAACAAAGCAATGAAGATGCTGGGGTTCGATCCCCAGATCCTCAAGCCTTACCAGACCTGCCCTGAAGGCATCCTGAGCCAGCCAAAAAACAAAACAAAACAAAACAAAAACAAACAAAAAACCACTTCAAAAGGACAAAAAAAAAAAAACCCCAAAAGACAAAAACAGCAAAAACCCAGCTGCCATTTAGTAAGCCTCTGAATTACATTATATGCTTTATATATGTCACTATTCATCTTTATAACACTAATTACTTCAAAGAGGGTTTTTTCTTGCTGATGTAGACCTTGAGGCCCAAGGAGAATAAGTAACATGAGTAAGTAACATGACTCATGATACATGAAGTAACAGTGGATAGGCCAAGATATGAATCCAGGACTACCTGCTCCAAGTCCATGCAAAGTATATACAGTTGCGGTATACTACCAGTTTACTACTGTAACCTTCCTACCACTGCCCTTTTCTTTTTCAATAAGGAAAAAGCTAATAAAAGATAATGAGGAAGCAAGCAAGCTCTCCAAGAAGTTTGAAAATTGTTGGGCTTGGTGGAACAGACCTGTAATCCCAGCTACTCAGAAAGCTGAGTCAGGAGGATGACATGTTCAAGGTCAGACTGGGCAATTTTGTAAGGCCATATATAAATAATGCTGAGAATGTAGCTTAGTGATAGAGTGCTTGCCTGGCATGCACAAGGAGCTGGGTTCAATCTCCAGTACCACAAAAAATAAAATAAAAAACAAAATTCAAGGGCTTAAAGGTAGATTCAAGTAAAAGAAAAGCCAGGTGATCACATCAAATACAGATGGACTGCTCCTTTAATGTGAACTTGCTCAATGCCATTGGTCAAAGGGGGAGAGGACATCAGTGTAATACAGAAGCCATGAGAGTTCATACAAAACTTCCCTAGCTTTAATCCCTGATGTGATTAGAAGTACATCTTCTCACAACTAGCATTATAGGAAGGCTTTAAGAAAATTCAATCGAATGTCTTTTTTTGGATAGAACATCTTTGGTTAATTTTACTTAAACCATTTGGTGAAGCAACAGGTGCAGGTGATAGAAGTGCAAAGAAATTCACCTAATATTAAAACAATGGATGAGTGGGCCAGGGAGATAGCTCACCGGCATAAGCATCTGCCAGCCAAGTGCAGGGTCCTGAGTTTGATCCCTGGTACCGAGAAAGAAAACAAAACAAAACCCCAAAAATCCCCCCAAACAATCGATGAGTGAAGAGGACAGAACCTACCTTAGATTTTAATTTTTGATGAAGATGTTCCCTATTAGAAGTGAAGGCTCATTGGAATTTTTTGGAGAACTGTACATCCAAAGGTATAAGCTGCAAAGACTGATTGGGATTCAAGGTTCACATGCTTGTGGAGATTAAAGTCTGCCAATATTTTTATTGAGGTTGTTAGGATATTTATAGGAATTCTAGTTTCAAAGCTCTGTGTTGTATGGTCTGCTCCAATCTCATTTCTCCTGTAGGCCCTCCTATTTTCTTTTTCTTTTTTTTAAATATATATTACTTTTTTCCCCAAAATTTTATTGATAAACAGTAATGAGACAGTTTCAAATCAAATCGGAAGTACAGTTTCAACAAATAACACACTGCATATGTTCTTCTTAGTGGTTAATTGCTGTACAAGATGCGGACTTGTGATCCTATTTACAAACACCTTTAGAACAAATCATTCTATTCATTAAGAGAATGCAACTATATATCTATCCTAACTACTTTGAATACACAGATACAAAATGGACATTCATCTGTATACCCTATTTTTTCTAAGTTCCGTTATTGAATATTAGGCCCTCCTATTTTCACCAATGTGATTTCAGAATATGAATCTCTTCAAAATGCACATAAAAATTTCTAGCAGAAAAGCCCATATTAGAGGCTGTCAGAGACTTAGAAGAATAGTGTTGGGAAGCTCTATTTAGCACACTGTGGCAAATAAATCTGAAGGACAATTTTTAAAATGTTCTATTTGGAACAAGAACAAGGTTTGATCTTTAGTCTTGAGGTGTTAGACTGGAGAAAATGGAAAAATTTTCTTTATGCTTTTGGTCTCTGCCTTCTATGAAATAATAATTTTTTTTACCCAGGGAGCAGCAGGAGCATTTAAGACACAGGGAAGTGAGCTCAAGAAATGAGAAGCACAGGCTAATCTAAAAGGGATCTAGATAAATGTTAGTTAGCCAAGGGTGATGATAACTTGTCAATGAGACCTCTGCTGGTAAGTAAGAGCTCCTATGAAAGAGACAGGGCCAGACCCAGGGAGATAGCTCAGTAGAATAAGCGCTTGCCTGGCAAATGCAAGGGCCTGAGTTCAATCCCCGATTCTGAAAAAAAAAAAAAAAAAAAGAAAATAATGTAAATTCTATAAAATTTTGGTGAGCTTGATGGGATTCCACAGAAAAATTCTAGAATAGGGGCCTGTTTTGGGGGCCTTTAATTCAAGGAGCAAGAATTAGGAGTCAGCATGGGACCCCTAAGCACAAGCTGGGACAGACAAGCTACCAAGCCTTTTGAGATTCTAAGTCTACAGAGAAAAAGATTAAAAGGGTTGGGGAGATAACTTAGTGGCATAAGTACCTGCCTGACAAGTACAAGGTCCTGAGTTTGATCCCTGGTACTGAGCCAAAAGTTAATTTTTAGAGCTAGGCATGGTGACACACACCTGTAATCCAGCACTGAGGAGGCTGAAGCAGAAGATTACCTCAAATTGATTACCTCAATTTGGGCTACCTA